TTTAGGGCTGTTGTACATAGGGTCACTATGAGTCGCAAGCGACTCGACGGCACATAACAACAACAACAACAACCATCATGTTTGAGTTCTCATTTCAATCCTAAGCAAATCTATTTCTACCACATGAGAGTAAGTGATGTGTGCTGTGGCTAATTCTCATTCTTAGTTGTGCCAAAGTAGCAAACGAAAGTCTTTACTTCATCTCCCTAAGTGAAGTCAATTCTACTTTAAAGATGAAACTCTGTCCCAAGAAAATTTTGAGTGTCTGGTAATCTGACGGGCTCAACTTCTATCCCTGTATCAGACTGCATTTGGTGTATGATAGGGGTTTCACCAGCTGATCTTCGGAAGTCGATTTTCAAGCCCTTCTTCCTTGTCTGCCTTAAACTGGAAGCTCTGCTGGGACTTGTCCACCATGGGTGACCCGGCTTATATTGGAAATACTGAAGGTAAAGCTTCTAGCATGAAAGCAACATAGACGCCACCACAGGAGGACGCACTGACAGATGGCTGTGGACTTACTTATTTTGGACACATTCTCAGGAAGGCCCAAACTTTAGAAAAGGACACAACAGGTGCAACTACTGTGGAAGGCGGTATGGCGCTTTCTCAAAAAGTTGCAAATAGAGATACCATTTGACCCAGCAATTCCACTACTGGGAATATACCCCAAAGAGACCATAACTGACATTCAAGCAGATATATGCACACCCATGTTTATCGTGGGTTTGTTCACAATAGCAAGGGAGTTGGAAACAACTTAAGTGCCCGTCAACAAATGAATGGATAATGAAGCTGTGGTATATTCACACAATGCAATACTACCCTGCATTGAAAAAAAGGAACTCATGCAATATTATTCAAAATGAGTGACCCTGGAGGACATTATGCTGAGTGAAATATTTCATTCTCAAAATAACAAATACTGCATGGTGCCACTGTTGTAAAACAGGACTGACATTGGGGTTGGGGGGTGACTGAGAAAGATAGTTTCAATAATGTATACTGCACTGAAACAGATGAGGGAGAAAACTGTTTAAAAGGGGTATGTGATTAGGTATTTTTGTCATGATAGGAGTCCAGAGCGAAGGCTGCCTAGTGGAGTAGACCTGGGGGGAGGGATTGTAAAACAATGAAATAATTTTACTTTTCCAAGAGGGTAGTAGTGTACTAGGGAGGAGGACTGGGCGGGGAGAAAAGTGCAACAATGAATGAATGGAAATCCAAAATCTCTGTAAATTTTCATTGAAATTAATAATAATTTTTTTTTTAAAAAAGGACACAACATTTGGTAAAACAGAGGGTCTGGAACAAAACAGTAAGAAAAGCCCTCAGGGAGATCAACTGGCTCAAAAGCTACCACAAGGGGCTGGAACATACAATGACCCTTGGATGGCATGGGTTTGGGCAATATTTTGACCCCTTCCACATAAGGCCACCATGAATCAGAACCAACCTGCCAATGACTAACGCTCCCACCACAGAGTAAAGAAATCCTGGTTTAGGGCTAGACTCTGCCACTATCTGGCTGTGTGACTTTGGACATTTCATGCTATTGCAATTAAAAAAGTGCATGACCTCATAGGCCACTTGAAAACAAATAAACTGTTATTTGAATTCTTCTGACTTCTTTGACAGCACCTGGCTAGTGTTCTGCAGGTAACACACTCTTAAGACAAGGTTCATTCAGTAAAGAAGCATAACCATGCCTTTTTTCTTTTCCTATAGACACTTTTCATCTCAAAGAGGAAAACCAATCTGTTTTAACTTGACTAAAGAAATCATGGATGTGAAAACCTGAAATACCGAGCTTACTTGCTCTAGGAAAGGGCAAAGGTGTATTCAGAAGTAGATGTCAAAGGTCACAAGGTAATTCAGAAGATGCTCTAGCAGCCAACAGAGGAAAACAGATAAGGGAAGTTTGATCTGGCTTGACTAATTCTGTAGGATCTGAGAGACATGTCTAATCAAACCATACCATTAACGTTCCTTTGCGTCTGCCTCCCTGCAGGAATAATAAAAGGATGGCACTTTTAAATTATGACATTAAAATAATTACTGGCAAGCAAATAGGGGTTTTTATGAGCTTGAAGTAAACACATTATTCACATTTGATGTGAGATGTAAACCAGAACTTCGCTTAAAAACTAAAATGAACTTTCATTTTAATTGGAAACTTAGAGCTTTCAAAGAAATGTCCCAGTGGTGTCCCAGTGGGTGTAATGTCACCTGCAAAAGGATGAAAACTGATTCTTGGGGAGTGAAAAACTCCTAGCACTTTTAAGGATAAAATACAGATGTGCATACTGTTCCTAAAACATACACAGTATATCTGTAGTATTAAAATTTTATTAGGGAGTATGGAATTAGTTTTTACATTTAGTACTGCATCTTAAGTCCAAAGAATAAACCCTGTCTGACATGAAGGAACTCCAGCCTGAAGCTTTCTAAAAATGGTTATTACATTAGCCGTCAGAAGTTAAGGATAGAGAGAACTAGTTTGCTGCTGCTGGAATCTTAAACACTTTCATAGAGTTGGTGTTTTTTTTTATGGAAATAATTTTACTCTCCCATGGTTTGGTTCTATCACACCCACAATTTCATGAGCAGATTTTCTTCCTTCGCACAAGGGGTTTTGCTGCAGGAGGCAGAGCTACATAAAGCAAGGATGCACTGACAGTCCCTAACTGGATGGGCCTTCAGAGTCAGCCTGAGTGAGAGGAAGGCCTTAGACAAGCCCAGCTTACCATACTACTGGGAAAGACCGCAGCTCAGCTGGGGCACAGGAAGCCTTCTCTCTGTGTCCATGCTCGCTTTGGTCACAGGGCATTTAAAGTTTCCGACTGGCCTGTGTACATGTGGTTACAAGCTCCTTTTCTGGCTTCTATTATCCACCTGTTCCCTCATGCTTCTCCACTTAATGCACTAACCGCAGAGGACAGAGACAGTGCAGTTTACAGGGATCCTTGGTGGCTGTGTAGTTCTGCCATCTGTTCCTCAACTCCGCTATGACTTGAAAGTCACCTTATTAGTGACAACCTTGGCGCTAATGTCCACCCAGAGGCACAGTGTTATGGTGGGAACTGTGGCAAAATGAGGTTTTTGAGACCTAGGGACAGAAAGTTGGACCTTGTCCTTGCCACATCCTCTTCTGGACTCCACTGTCTGTCTGTAAAATGGGAACATAAATCTTTGGAGGTAAGGATTTTGAGACACCATCTCTCATTCTTTGGTCATGTAGCCAGGACAGTTCAGTCCTTGAAGGACATCACGCTTGGAAGGGTGGAAGGACAGCTCAGGAGATAAAGACCTCAGGTGAGATGGATTGGCACAATAATTGGGGTAATGAGGGTAGGCGTGAGCAGGGTTCAGAGCTATCATGCGCAGGGTCACTATGAATTGCAAGGGACTCAATGGCACATATAACAACAGAGAAAATGTGCTGCTAGTTTCCAAAATGCAACATTGGTTTTCAAAATCACAAAAGGAGCGTATGAAGGTGTGACATTAACTTTGCATATTCCAACTTTTAAATATTGCAAATACTTTAATCATCGAGACACTGGGAGCAAAAGCCCTAATGTCTCTTAAAAAAAAGTGTTGGAAGGAATCCCCCTACAGATTCCCATGCACTTTTCATCCAGGTTGGGTGCATTCTAGTCAGGAAAAGTGGCAGAGCTTGGAAGCAGCCTTATTCCATTCGGCCTTCCTGCTGAGAATGTCTTTCTATCCCAAGATATCCTGAATTAGAATAGATATTTTATGAAGATTCTCTAAGATCTAAGACTCCCCTGGGGATCACCTGTGACAGAAATGCATATTCTCTGGAGGGGGCTGGGGTGGGCTGAATGTCTGAGGCCCTGGTGCAGGGTCACGAGCGGGGTAATCACTCACCAGCTGCTGCTCCAATGGAGGGATGGAGTCGTGATGGCCATAGATGATGCCAGGATTGTACTGACTGAAAAGCACTGGATAAAATACCTTTTTCCCTGCAAACCAGAAAACACACACTCACTTAAAGCTCCAGGTGAGACTACCAGGCTTCCCAATTCAACCTCAGGGAATGTCTCAGGCATCTGCACTCGTTTGTCTTTTTCCCTTCTCTTGATTCATAGATCTTGACTCAAGATCTTATAATATCTCCCTCAGATAGGATAGACATTGAGATACTTGAGCATCAAAGCTCTCCCAGCATAAAAGTAATATTCAAGATGCTAACAGTCCCTGGAGAGGACTTGGCATGAACCAAGCGGTGAGTTCCGAGAGCCCCCGAAGTGTAAGACTCCTGGCCAGGGGCAGTCTGAAAGGTGTCTGTGCAGCAGGAGTGCATGCAGGGCGCCTGGAGCAGCAGCTCTTTACACAGAATAATTTCCACATTCTAATGACTGACATGGCGAGGCCGTGTCATTTAATTATCAAGTGACAATCAGCTGAATATCAGTTCTGCCTCTGGGTCAACTGTACGAAAAGAACTTTTAGATTTTAGGTTATTTTTTATAGCCTTGTTAACTACTCATGGCTGCCTCGCCCACCCCTACCCCTTGGATTCTCTCTCCAACTCTCTCTAATTGTCATCGAGTCAGATTTGACAGCCGGCCCGCCATTGTGGGGTTTTTTTTTTAATTGTTTTTCCATTATGGTTTGGAGGCTGTAAATGGCACAGAAGATTGCCCCTCTTTCTCTGATGGATCTGAACTGTAAGAAGTGTCTGTCGGCGTTTGTGTTAGCACTGAAACGCCCTACAGACAATCCCACCACCAGAGTTCCCTTCTCTTTAGATTGGGGCAGCTTTTCCAGGGACCGGTCCTTCCCACCTTGCCCCTATCTGCTGTTCATGAAAGCAGACTTCGCAGCTGAAAATGGAAAAGGGGCTGTAAACACGAACTTGGGTGAAAATGTCTCACAGCTCTGATGGCTACAAATCCACGGTGTGGTCCCAAGGGAGATAAGAAACCAGGTCAGGTTCCTTTTCTCTGTCACTGACATAAAATGCGCAGAGCCTGCACCTGGCCTGTGAGGAGAATGATGAGTGAAGCAGAGCGGGGAAGAGAAGCACCGCCCCTCAGGCCATACCTGGCTGGGTGTTCAGCCTACATGTGTTGAGGAATTCACTGGTGAAGTAGATGTCCACGTCACAGAAGAAGAGGAGGACGTTGCTTCCCTTCCAGAAGCGGGCGCCGACATCCAGTCCCTTTCCCCGAGAGAATTCCCCATTCAGCTGGATGAACGTAAAGTTCCTGAAGTTGGAAGCTCTAAAAAGGGAGAAGCAGACACAGTCACCCACGTGGGCATTCTTCCCAGGCTGACCACAATTCTCGAGGAGCACGTGACCAGGGACAACCCACGCCTTGCCACATCCATTCAGTGACTCTGAGAGATCTGGGACTCACCAAGCAGTGACAAGATGACCTAGACTCTGCAAAAATCATTGGAATAAAAGGTAATGAGGATACTGAGTGAACTTTCATCGTTGTTACTTACTGTCTAGTCATGGTGACCCAGGTTTACAAAGTAGAATTGTTGCAAAGGATTTCCAATGGGTCTTACCTTTAGGAGGAAGATAGCTAAGGTACCCCTGGATAGGTCTGAACCTCTAGTCTTTCTGCTAGTAGCTGGGTGTGTAACAGTTTATGCCACTGGGGAACTCCAGTGACATTTTAACATCAAATTTATTTCAACCTGGGTAATTTTCCCACATTGAAAATGATACATATATTATTTATGAATATCCTTGTGGTTGCTATGAAGCTAAACACTGTGACACTGATGTGTCAAATGCGAGAATGGTTACCAATGGTGGACAGTGTTTGGTGAAGCTCTCTGATTAAAACAAGCTTGGAAGCAGGAGTGGCATCCACTTCCGAAATAGCTTGCTTCCAGAAACTCTATGAACATGGAGAAACGATGAAAGTTATATAAGTGTCCAGGTCTTTCGTTTATGGGGTCGCGATGAGTCCCCTTTGACTTGATGGCACTTAACAACAATAACATCATCCTTTTTCACAGGGAAAACCTGAACCAATGAAGAAGAGGTGCTAACAGTCTCCATGCTTCCTGCATCCGCCAAAACAACGAGCCAGGGAAATACAACACTGGAACAGCCCTAACACCTTCTCATCTTTATTCAAACCCAGAAGCCTGGCAAAATGTTCTTGACAGACAGCTAACTCCGAACCGATTTTACTCTGGATTCCTGCCTTTGCAACATAGTATGGTAGGAAATAAAAGAGACTCGGACTCAGAAGACTAGGACTGTCTCAAACCTGGCCCTTGTCTTGACTTAGTTCTATCATCTAGGCAAGTTACTAATTGCCCTGAGCCTCAGTTGTCACATCTGTAAAATAGGAATAACTTCTTGAAATATTTCAGAGTTGTTACCTAGATGAATGATGCCCAGTGTTAAAGCACTATGTTAACATCAAGCATTCACGTTCTTGCACAAGCAAGGACTGTATGAATAAAATTAAGACTTTTTTTTCCGTTCCACTGTGGAACCTTCTAAACTGGGGCATGTCTTGAATAAATTTCATTCAGTACATACTGAGACAGGGAGACTGTGATCTACCAGATAAATTCAGAGACCCACTCAAGGTGGTTCCTACTCCTTCTGTTCTGCTCATTCAGAGGTCTCAAATCTCCCTTTCCCTAATGACATCACCTTCTTTGTAATTGTCTCCTCTCCTCCCACATTGCCCAGCCCTTCCCCTCCTCTCTCACCCTGTCCATTATCATTAATCTCACAATTATCTTGATATCAAAACAAGAACAGAACTCACCTCGTTCCATTTCTCTTTTTTATAGTTTTATTTCAAGTAACTACCTTGGGTAAAGGTCAACCCAAGTATAGGGTCATAACAATCTTTCAAGACACTAAAATGTACTTCCATCTGGAAACTGAACTAATGAAACTTGTTCTCCAGCTCCTCACTTGGTTTAACATCTTTCAAATCTAAGAGTGAGGTTGGCTTTTTATCTGGGGAATCTGTGAGCTCAGCTCTGAGTTCAATGCCAGACAGACTTTTCCAATTTAGAACAAGGTAGAGTAATTGTGATGGAAAGTGTTGGTCTATGAGTCACTGAAGGTGTGAATCCCAAGTTTAGAAGCATGTCTGGTACCTATTAGGTGCATAATAGATGCTGGTGGATTAATGCATGTATCAATGAATGTGCTCAACTCGAGCGCTGTCTATAATGAGGATAGGTCCCCTGACCTCTCTGGTATCAGTTATTCATTGCAAAATCAAGGGGTTACAGACCTCAAAGATTTCTTTATATTCCAAAGGAGTATTATTATTCTTTATTTGTGCATTTAGCTGGGAACTGCTCTCTCTTTGGAAGGAATCCCTACCTCTTTGAAAATTTAACTTGAATCTTTTCCCTTGGTAGGTGGCCTCAGTTCATATTTTCTACAAAGGGCCCTGAAGTTATGCTTGAAAGCCTTTCCAGGATTGGGTCTAGTCCTAAGTAAGGAAGGTGCTACTTCTTTGTCTTGAAAATGTTTGGGTGCTAAGAGCTACAGGCCATCTTTTATTTCCCCAAGGTTTCAAAAGTCCCACACAGCACACCCTATTTGGTCCATGTTTAGGGAAATTTTACTCCTGGGAGAGTCTTGAACTTTGACTTGTTTTTTTCTGTCTACACTCAAGCTTCAGAGTTATTTATTCATCACCCTGGTCCGTCTTGATTCCATCTGCTTTCTCTAATAGCGAGTAGCAGATCTTCTTCGTCATTTGTTTAAATTTCTTGAGTTTGCAACCCTCTCAGTTTGCTGGGATATCCATTAGGTAACTAGCCGAGCAGGGGTGACTGACACTACCAAAGCCCAATGAATGAGCAAGGAAGTAACCTCGTCAAGCTCCTTCCTCCAGGGGGTTGCCTAGGGTCTATGAGAGACTTCAAACACAAGATTTTCTATTTTAACAACAGCAAGCAACTTCCTCCAAGGGAAGAGAAGCTTAGTGTTTTACTATACTGTGCTAAAATAAAAGTCTTTTCAACTGCCTCGTATGCATGTGAAAGGTGGACAATAACAATGAACACAGGAGAACTGATGTGTTTAACACGTTGCTGCACACTTTTAAATTGACAACTGTGCTTAGAAACGCATTTTTTTTATAGCCATCATTTGTGGCAATGTGTTAAATGGGTGATTTCAGGGAATACATCACTGACGTCTATAACAATGAACAAACTAGTCTCAGAAGAAGTACATTTGAAATGTCCTTTAGACTTGAGAATAGCAACACTCTAACCCATTACTTTGACCAATTACTTGAAAATGGCATCATGTTTGGTAAAGACCAGGGCACATGAAAATGAGGGGTACGTTCAATGAGGTGGACTAACAACAATGGCTTCAAACACATCAATGCCTGTGAAGATGGTGCAGGGCTGGCCGATGCTCTCTTCTGTTACATGTCAGGCTCTCCTGCATCAGACTCTACTTGATGACAACTAATAACAGTAACGGCAGGGCATCCTCTTTGAGTGGCCTAACTGAATCAGTATGTCGAATATTTATAAAAGTTAAATCACACTGAAAAGTTAAACAGGTATACAAGACAGAAGTAGAAGCCGAGGGGAACTACAGCATAGCCAGCTGGTGATTACCTGCTGAATGAAAGATGGTGCAAAGACAGCTGCGTGCTACAAATTTAGAGGATAGTGGGAACATAGAGAATATGCTTACTCAATACAGAAATTCATTTCACTGTAATTTCATTGCTCTGTACAGAAGTTCCCCAATCCCTGGCTGGAGTTGCTGCTGGTAATGCTATTCTTCTTCTCTCAGTTCTGTTACAGTCCTGGAGAGGGAGCTGAGTCTGACTGTCTGTTATAATTACTAAAGAAAAATCATATGGGGAAACTCAGCTGCCATTATACCTAGTATTGGAAATTAATTTGGAAGACCTTTTATAAAAACAAGTCTTAAAAAACATCAAGTTCTGAGCTTCAACAAAAGCTTCTTCCTTTAGAGGAAGAGAATTCATAGAAATGGATGCTGAGGGATCCTTGTTAGAGACTAAATTGGTTCCCAAGAAACTAAGTCCTAACCCTATGTACATATGAATGTGACCTTGCTTGAAAATAGAGTCTTTGAAGATGTTATCAGTTACAGTATTGTGAAGTCATACTGGAGTATGTTGGATTCTAATTCAATATTAATGAGGTCCAGGTGTGTGTGTGTGTGTGTGTGTGTGTGAGAGAGAGAGAGAGAGAGAGAGAGAAGAGAGAAGAGAGAAGGGGGAGAGAGAGAGGAAAAAAAAAGAGATTCACAGAAGGAAGATGGCCATATGAAGGCAGAAGTAGAGACTAGACTGATGGATGTGCACGTGTCATAAAATGTCAAGGATCCCTGGCTGTCTCCAGAGGCTAAGAGAGAGGCCTTCAGAAGGAATCAACCCAACTGACATCCTGATTTCAGACTTGTGGCTTGTAGAGAATACATTTCTGTTCTTATAAGCCACCCAGTTTGTGATTCTTTGTTACAGTTGCCCTAGGAAACGAATTCACCTTCCCTGAGGCATCATGCAAAGGCAATTTGCTTCCTCTCATTTTGTCTTCCATCTTCTAAAACACTGAGACTAAGAAAAAATGGATAAATTATGTTTACTGCATTGAAGCCGATGAGGGA